CTTCGTTCTCCAAGGCTCGCTGCCCAAAATTCGTGTCGTCACAAACAACTGTTCCAATGCTTTCTTACACTGGCGCCCCCGTCCCCCGAGGCTTGACCTCGAAGCTACTTCTGGCTAACCGATAACAGCTGCGTTAGCGTGCCCCGTCCTTCGGCGTTCCTGACCTCAACTTATTCACTACGCACATACCTGCGCACAGACCGGCGTATACACGCGCGTTCAAATTACCGTGCCTGCCTAAGAGGCACTTGAATATAACAGCCCTCGGCCGATGCAGCAAAGACTTTTACAGGGGACATGCGCTCGGGCAATTGCAACACACCAATGACAGACCACTGGAACTCGCTTCAAAGCTATTTAAAAGCACCTGTCATCACTCCACGCAACACTCAGTCGACAATTTCAGGCCTGGATGGACGCAGTTAGGATCAGCCTTGGGTTCAACAGTGGCCACTGCCACCTGAGACAGCAACTCAGGGTTCTGTACACAATAAAACCCTCATTCTGGTGACTCTTGCCTTTTACCTCCAACCTGGGATTTGACCTGATGACTGTTAGTGATCCTAGCACAAACACTCTTTACAACCCTACAATTGTCAAAGGTATGCAGTGGCACAGCTCTTGCATACTGTTAAGAATCAAAAGTCCTTTGTATTAACTATATGTTTCTGCTATTTTATCTGATGAGGGATCCGCTACGAAAAAAGAAACGTCTTGTTGTATTACAGAATCTGTTTCCCTTCCTTTATTGTTGTCTTGGACACCCATATTCGCTTGTTTTGGCAACTCCTGGACTCGTTTAGCAAATTTTTAAAAACTGCATCGAGAAAACAGCAATAAAAAACCACGTTAGCTTAAAATTTTAAAAACTGTATGCATATTTTACAAGGAAATCCGCCGGGAAGGATGTCTGGATGTTCTCATGCGGTAAAATGCTGACGGAAGATTGAAAACTTCCGTTTACCGCAATAACATGTACGCGGATGTTATTCTTAGCTACCGGAGTGAAAATGCCACCTCTCATAATTAAGTGCTGTTAGCTGTCTGCTACGCCTAGCGAAGATACACTGCTCAGACGAAGAAACCTACCGAAACGCCCTTAATTATCTGCTGCAATTGATTTCCCGCAATTTTTATCTCAGACACTTTGTACGCCGGTGCATGAGACAGCAAAAATCCAGCAAAAGGGAACCAGATAGTTACACTCAGGTGCTCAAAACAAACTTATGATGAATCCTTCCGTATATAAGGAAACTGTGTGAACACATTGAAAGGCACTTACGGAAAATCCATATAAAAATGGCGCATAAACCGAAAGGTCCTTTACGCACCCAGCAAGTACACCTTAAGGATAGGGTTGGCTACCCCGATAAGAAAGAAGCAATGTACAAAATCCCATGCGAAACCTTTAACACGGTTTATTGCGGCCAAACAAGAAACTCCGTCTCCACACGCATCCATAAGCAATAATTGGCAGTGAAGAGACGTGACCATTTGCCTGAAGTGGTTATGCGTTGCCTTGACACAGCACACAACCTTACATGAAACAAAACACGCATCGTCACAGTTTGCCCCTCAAAAAATGCCAACAATTTATTGAGGCCACACACTCCGATGATTCATGCACCAACCGGCGTATCTATTTGGCTGGAGTTTACAAACACCACAAATAAAGCTGGAAGAGACTACAGTCGACGTTTATGTATCAACGTGAACCGTAACAAGCGCCCACACCGGGTGACCTGGACTGCCCCGGACCGACTCAAATTAGAGTTCCAAATTAGCCATTACGACCTTGCGACTACATCAGCAGTTTGAAATGTTAATTGTTCTTCTTCTCAAGTCTAACGACGACCTGGGGATCCAGTGTCGAAAATTTACTAAATAAATTTCCTCATTTTCCCAAAGGACTCCTTTCCTTGAAAACATACTAATAGGCCTACAGTTCGCAACTAAGTAGGCCTCGTTAGGTTTTCTCTGAGAAGACGGGTTACCCGTTAGCCTACCTGCTAGCTAACCGGCGCGTCCACGGGTGGCGGATAGTGGAACGACTTTCAGTAAAGGTTTACTGTGAAATAAGCTGACACTCGGGCTTGACAACTAAACAGTCTCGGACGCAGCAGCGGCAGTGCTACCAGGACGCGGCGGGCTGAGGCCTGGCAAGCTAAAAGTCTATAAAGTGTCGCAAATCTTGACGATGGCGCTGTGATATGGCGAGCGTGAACCGCCATTAAATAAGTTCGTTTGCCACCGCTACTTTGTGGATAGGCTATTTAGCCAAAGCACTAGAGGAGACAACTACGACCAAACAATCCGTGTGACTGTTGGGGACCCGCTCGTACCCGAAATTCCTAAGTCACCTCAATGAATGTCATGTCCGATAACTGCAATACGATCCATACCGACGCGCTCCGCAACCCTTGTCCAGTGGTGCGGGCGAATAGCATTCGAGCTGGACTACTCAATCAAAATCGGACTTTTGTATTGAATGCTGGAATGTGCGAACGCTCCTGGCCCCTGGTATCCAAAGCCTGACGGTGCGCAGTCTTTATCAGTACAACGTCGATGTCTGCTGCCTGTTTGAAGTCCGAGTCCCTAACTCCGGCGCTCAGGAAATAAAAGGTCCTGGAGCTGAATTCCATTCGCACTATCCCACAGTGGCCCCCACGACTCCTCCGGCTGACATGGTGTGGCAATTGCCCTCTCACAACAAGCGAGCCATGCACTACTTGCCTGGGAACAAGTCAATGAACGCATGGCTTATGTGCGCTTGAAGGGCCACTTCACAAACATATCTGTGTTCGCGGTATATGCACCAACGTCCTGTGCTGACCAGCAAAATAAGGATTTATTTTACTCGCTGCTACAAACATCGATTGAAGGGCTCCCTGGCCGCGATCTGTTGATTGTTGCCGGGGATTGGAATGGCCGAACCGGGCCGGGGGACTCCATAAACAGCCTTCTTATCGTCCGCTTTTGGCTTGATTCTCGATGTGAGAATGATGATAGATTGCTGAACTTTGCTGAACGGAACCGACTGTTCGTAACGAACACGTGCTTCCAGCACCACAACAATCACTTGCTGACCTGGTACTCCAACGAGGGCCATATGGCCAGTCAGATTGACTATTTTAGTCAACTCAAGATTCCACAGCTGGGTTCATGATAGTCGGTCACTGCCTGGTGCTGAGACTCGTAATGCCCATGGCTCTGACCATGTTCGTTATCGCACACGCTTAGAGAGCTCACCTCTCATCTGCGCCCAAAATGCCCCACGTTATACGCCTCGATGTCGCCAAAATCCGGCAACCCTACACCGTTGAGGTCCTAAGCAGACAAATCCGGTCCTGTTTCGCGACCCACGCCGACGACGAAGGGGGTAACCCATGGTCCTTGCTGAAAACGTCAGTTTACGGAGCAGCCGAGAAAATTATTGGATGCACCCAGCGGTGC